ACGGCTCGAATGTCAGAATAACTCTATTTGCCACAAACTATCCAAACACCTATATGATAATGATCTTTATGACAAGATATGCTAAAGAGGGCATAAATCATTGCATACTATATAATAACCCGTCAATCTTTCATCATACACTAAAAATATGAACCATCTAATTGTGTTCATCTGATCTTTTACTTTCTGAAGAGTAATAGGTGAGTCGAAATCGGATGTTTGAGAACATGTATCAAAATAAACTGTGTAAAATATCGTTGAATTTGATTGATGAAATGATTTGATGTATCAAAAGTGGTTATTTTAATAGAGAAGTTATGATAAAATTGTTCTTCGTAAAATAGAATATAATTCAATCCGAAACATGATGCAATATAATTTTGAACTGATGATTTGAAACCTACCTAATTAATTAGTATGAAATACAGAACATTCAATACCGTTGTTGTATCAATTGAATGTTTGTCCTGCGATTACTGTCTAGTCTTCTATGTTCTACTCCCTTAGATTATTAAACGAAAAATATAATTATCTTACCTTTGATTAGATGTCCGACTAAGGCAAAATTAAAGTTCGATTTAAACGATAATCCCATACTAGCATCCAATTGTTTAAATTGCCATTCTAATGGTTCTCGTGCATCCATCATTATCTTCTCTAGTGTACCCATTTCGAAAATTGAAGTACCCATATGATCAAGTGTATGTAAATTTTGTTCCAATAATGCTAAACCACTTGCATATAATTGAGTTTCTTCTAATTGTAAAATCGACACCGCTATCCAAAACATAAATTTATGAATAGGTGATTCTTGTGATAACAGCGGTAACAAACGAGTAAGACACATAATGATCGAATCAATCAAATCAATGTCGACAAATGATTCTAGAGCTTTGACTAAAATGCGTAATAATTGTTTTATATCAGCATCTGATGTTTGTTTTGATATACAACCATAGACAATACTAAAAGAAAATTAAAAATCAGTTAAATGTAGCGAATATAAATCGTGTATGTTTGAATCAAGATTGAGCACTACTTACATGGCTCTTGGCTGTAGTGCGGGATTGAATTGAAACGCAAATCTCTTGGCTAATTCTTGCCATTGTGCTAACCATTCACATTGTGTAATATCACCCATACAAGCCTCCATCAATTCGAGTAGAGTATCGGTGATGGTTTCCAATGACAGCAATGACATTCGTTCTTGTTCACACGGCGAATATGCAACCACTGCTGTCATTGTTCGTTCTTGTTGTGGTAATAGAGAACCAGTTGAAGCGTGTTGTTGTCGCACGATACCCGTCCGAAATGCAGTGACACTCGCTGATTTTACTTTTGACAAACCAAATAGACAATAGAATTTCGGTAGAGAAAATTCGGCCAGCGATAATCGTAGAACACGCTGTGTTTCGTCACTGAATGTTGGTTGTGAACAAGTGCATAGTGAATGAATAATGTTGATGACAAGACCGTGTGTCGAAGCACGGAGTGTCAAAGGACCAGTTGAAACAAGTAGAGTGACGATGTGAAATAGAAAGGGCAGATGCGAAGCGACATCCAATGAATTGTTAAATGATAACATAAGTAAATAACGAAGTAAAATGGCAATGTCATCCCAGATTAAATGTTGTTCTAGAGTGGGAGTCGGTGACATACACGTCTTCTCAATAAGGCGACATAAACGACCTAAAACAAAAACGAATAGTTAAAATTATGTACTTAAAGAAGAGAGACAACTTACCAATAACTTTTCTCGAAAATAGGAGACTATTTGAACTGGCTAATGCCACTGCTGTATCAGCCAAAATCTCGGCCTGTAATGATCCCAATCCACCCAGCACACTTCGTTTAATGAAACAATCCAATACGATATCAAGTAGATCGGATACTTGACCGATATTAGACCAAATCTTGGCTTGTATCGATGGATACATTTCGTCTTCTTCGATTGTCAATGTAATCAACTTATCAAGTATTTGTGCTACTTTTTGTCGTTTATTATCATCGTTCTGCTTACAAAATCGTGTCAAATTTGGTAACCACTTTGTCATATATTCTAAGCATAAATGTTTGAGTTCGATAGTTGAGTTTCGAAAACCTTCAATACACTCTTCAAGAAATTCTAATGTTAAATGCGGCTCCTTTTGAGCCAGTTTTTCCGAGATACATTTGATGAATATGGTATTGTTTGACGGTATGCACAGACCACTTGATTCCAATAGTTGTCCTTCAATTCTCAGATCGAATGTTTGAGTTAATGCACATAATAAATTATAAGCAGCTGAACGTAAGGATGGATCAAGACTACCCAAATTTAATAGGGCTATGTTTAACAGTGTACCAGGAACATCTTTTGGACGAATTTTATTATGAATCTGTATGTTTTCTGGTTGTGCCAACTCCCAACCTGCAAGATAAAACCAAAAAACAAAATCAACTAAATTTTATCAAAGCCAACTGCAAAAGTCAGTTTATCGTCTAATCTTCATCACCGAAAAGGTTACACGAAGAAAAATGCAACAAATTAGAGGAAATTCATTTATATGAAATTCCGCGTATACTTACGTGTTCTAATATGAATAATTGCTTGTACAATGTTATCACAATCGTTGTGAATAAAAGACAGTGGTCCCGTTTCATTGGCAATGGTCAACGTAAATTGATTATCATCGACGAGACAGACTTCTTCGATTTCCGATGCATAATAAACATCATTTAACAATACACTATGACCAAGAACTTTTGTTTTTTCTGACGATGTTACTTGAATAGCTTGTGGACCAACTTTGATGGCCACTTTTGTGTCCTTATGTGATAGTTTCAAAGCATTGTTAAATACCTGAAAGACGAAAAACATTGTCGTTAGATGAAACTTGAAAAAAACAATTGTAAATGTACATACTTTCAAATCTTCTTCTAACGACAGCGTGTGACCAGGTAATTTTTGTTGATCTAGTTCGATAAATTCATTCAATTTTGTAATATGATCAATAAATACCAATTTTCGACTTCCCTTTACCGAGGATAAGAGACGATCGTGATACTTCGTATATTCTCTTACCCACGAATTACAATTATAGATGTAACATTGTTGTAAATGATGATAAAAACATTCAGGCATACACACAAACCATTTTGACAGATAATCCGTTTTGAATCGATTATCCGTACATGTATGAGTAAAATCAATGACGAGTTCAAATGGTTTATTTTGAAATGGTTTTAATGTTAATAATACATGATAAATAAGTAAATCACAGTTCATTTCATTTACTTTAAATCGACGAGCAATATAATAGAACACTGGATAATCACCTTGTTTAGAAAAACCGGCTTGATAGAATATGTTCAACGCTTTTAGACTCTTGAATTCTTCTCGTTCATGCATTTGTGTTTTCTGCATCATTTCTTCGAACTTGGTCGATGTCATATCGTACGAAATCCATTGTGAATCGAGTGGACGATGATCAGGTGGACCCAGATAAGCGAGCAATGTAGCCATTTTATCAAATGGACGGCGACCAATGGCTTTGTGATCACGACCAGACGAGAGATAATCACCAATCTTCTCTTGATGATACCACAACAGCCGATGCAAAGCTAAAGAAAACTTTTATGTACGAGTGATCTGAGTCTTACAAATTAAAGCAGCTGATATTAGAGAAAGACGATATTATCAAACTAGTTTGTGTAAAACTTACCTAAGACATTTGCATCGCTGATATATGACATTGTATAATTATTTATTAAATTATCTGTTGCTTGATCAGGTTCCGACGATATGTCCATGACAAACTGCATTGCTGTATCAAATGCCGATTTTAAAAAATCATTAAAACATCGCATATGAAATTCTTTGGTGAAGTTCAAATTGTTGGCAATATTCTGTAAAATTTTTGAGATTAAAGTTAGACCACGTTTGACTCTCGGCAATGGTTCAACTTCAGTAATTCCAAATTCGTGTGGAAGGACGAGAGCAGGATTAATAAATCGCAAAAAGATGACGGTGCTAACAGCCTGCAACGGTTGTTGAGGAAATCGTTGACTAACTACTTGGTAAAGACAATAACAAAGTGTTCTTAACTGAGACGGAAACATTTTTGTTGATGTTATGATTGCTTGAAATACATCTTGTGTGAGTAATCTTAAATTTTTTCGATTTTCTTCAACGTTTTCTTGGGATTCGATACGTGATGGATCAACTTCGTACGAACGAGACTGTGATGAGTCGGCCATGTACATTTTTTGTAATATGGGTGCAAAGAGATTGTACAAATAGTGAGAACCGTACAATTTAAAACAGAATGACATGATTTTAGTTGGAAGACCATTTCCTCTTAAGATGGTTTGATAACAATCAGCCACTTCAACTTCTTTTGAAAACATGTTGAATAATAACTGATTTAGTAAATGTTTGGCATCAAAAACGGTCACGAATACACGAGATAATTCGTCCTAAATGATAGCACAGACTTCTCTATAATTCATACTGAGAAAATAATCAGAAAGAAGGCTCACCATATACTGTACGGAAACGACACTGGCTAAGGCCATTGCGATAGGTAGTTCGCCTTTATCTCCAATCATTGTTACCAGTTCTACTAAACGTTCAAATCGATCTGCCAACACAGTTTCAGCTAATGTATCGAATTCTGTTCCTTGTTGTAATATTTGTGTGAGAACTTCCATAAAAGCAGCCCGAGTCAATGGATCACGATGATACCCCAAAGCTAAAATTCATATAAAATAGTCTGTAGTAGCTCAGAGCTTAAGATCCTAGCAACCATAACTGTTACTTACCAATACTTCTCATTAACCCACTTTCAATGTTAGCATTCAACAAATTCGACATGGCAACAATTGTACTATTTCGTAATGATTGTGTTTTTGATTGTTGCTGTGATTTTACCAGTTGTTGTGTATTAAATGCTCGCCCTGGACCCATCAGTGGGCTAAATGCTGCTTGACTTATAGCACTCATCAATGAACTCGTTCGCAGTTGCTGCTGTTGTTGGAGAAGCGTTCCCGCACCACCTGATGTGGCCAAATCTTGATCACTTCCTTCATCGTTCAAATCATCTGAGCAATCATTTAACAGATTCATAAATAATGTAAAATATTTCAAAAATAATTGTGATTTCGCTTCCATCAAATCTCCTCTGTCGGATTCTTCCGGCTGCAATGGAAGGCCAACAAGTAGTGATGCAACGGCTTCCATTGATGCTTGATCGAGCTCTCTAGTTAGATGTTGATATTGATCACCAAATTGAACATTAAACTGATGTGAATTGCCCATTATCCAATCGGTCAGATATTCGACCAATTTATTTCGAAATTTAATCTCTTGACGAAATGATAAATCATCACGACGTTTCATCAATGATTCGACAAGCTGACATACGCGTGAACGGATTTGAATTGTAGCTACTGACGTGTCCAAATGACGAGAATAGCGAACAATGTTTAACATTAATTGTTCTATACTAACAGTTGCTAAAGGATTATCTGTGCTGCCCGATTCAACTTTCATTTCGAACACACTACGCATAATAACAATAACATTATCGATAAACTGAGTGTTTTGTTCAGATGAGATAACCTTAAATGAAAATAAATCATTATTTGCTAAAATGATGTGCTAAAATTTCGTAGAACATCATACCTGTCCACTAGCGTCAAAGAATTTGTCGACAGTAATTTTAATTTGATCAAATAGTATTGGATAACAGAGTGGATTTAATTCATGACCCAACAAATCTTGAATGTGACGCTGTATTTGAACACCAAATCGTTCATTCATACAAACCAAATATTTCAGACAATCACCAATGAATCTGACAACACAGTCAGATATCAGCTCTAGGAGAGAGTATAAAATTAGATACTTACTGTGTGACAGGACAATAATGCAAATCAGAACCAACAGGTTCCATCGATGTCCGACGACTATCAGCTGGTATGCCGTGTTGACTAGAATAAAAACATGTGTACCATAGTAACCACAATTATTGATGAATAAAATTTAAGCTACAAAAAAAATTGCAAATATTATCTATTTACCCTGGTCTATTTTTAGCTGGGAGCCAAACACTACCAAGTGCACACAAAAAGCCAGTCATATTTGCCCATTCATGGAAGATATCCTTTATACAAAAGTAACAGATTTGTAGTAAACTAAATGGAAAAAAAGTCAGAAGAGACTCACTTCCACTTCATGTTCGGTACTGTGTACACCCGCTCTTCTCTTTCCAAATTTGTAAGCGCCACTGTCACTACTGCCACCACTCGATGCACCAGTCAAATCTTCCACTCGTTTTGGATAAACATTGAGAAATTTTGTGACATTCTGTTGCGACACGTACGTATCGTACCACGCTTGCTTATTTCCTTGCGTAGCATGTTCAATTTTTCTTAATAATGATAAAATTCGTTTTTGAAGTGCATTTCTTCCCGATGTGATTGTATTCGACGCGTGTGAGAGTTCCATGTAGATGTTATAATTAGGCAATAGTTGAAGTACGGCCATTTCATCGAATCCAAAACGTATTTCAGCTTCTTCACAAAACAATGAGAAACAGGACATGGCAGTTTTAATTGCGTCAATATCCACAGACCATAAATAAATGAAAAACACAATCTAAACAGAAATATAGTGTAACACTAGACCTTTAAAGAAGAGTGCGTTGTTGTATTCAACCTACTTCTAATTTCATGTGTGCATGTTTAGCCATGGGTATATTAGAACCCAAGTAAGCATTATCTTTATGATGTAACAAAAATGTATTTCTTAATACCAAAATTTCACGTAACCATTTAAGAACTGACGTATAATTGTAAATTTGATGTAAAACTAATTTTTGTGAAATGGAGAAGAGGACTTGTGAAGATATTGACCAAAATGTGTTAATACACGCTTCAGGATTCCATAATTCAATATTTTCCTTTTCATGTAAAACCAGCAATGATTCCATAGCTGTATGAGCAACATCGGGCATGGATGAATCATGAACGAGTGATACTAGGCCATTGATCAACTCAAATGTGGACATTTGTGTTTCATGATCAAGTTTATTTGGATTGTGTAACATCAAATAAGGATCAACAATAATTAGACGAACAATCCAAAGTAATAATTCACGATTATTCGGTCCATCGGTTTCTGATTGACGATCACGATCTTTGTCACGATCAGATTTAGCCAGTTTAAAATTTGTGTACTGCGAACGAAGTTGTTGAGTCGAGAAGAAAATGTCTTTCAACGTGGATACTCCCGATATGCCCGATATACCTAGACATAGAGATTAGAAGTCGTATAAGTTCAATAAACACAGCTTAGTAAGAAAAATTCTTGTTATAAACGAAAAGTTAGACTCACGTATTGGCGTTGTTGAAAATGTTGAAGATTGACTGACTTTATTCAAAGTATCGGTAAACATATTTCTCAATTCTCCTGCTTTAGAATAGACAATATCGATTTGTGGCCACCATAGTAGTCGACGTTGTGTGATAATTCGATAAAGTGCTTTGACAAGAACATAGTGAAACATCGACGGACTTTGTAAATTTAAACACACTTTCAATACTTCATTGTTATGAGGATTCAAACGAATACAAGCGAGGAAAAATTCAATCATCAATTCTAAATCTTGATTGATTTTGTCCGGACCACGTGAAAATGGACGTTGTGGATTGAACAATATCATCTATAAAAAACAATATGTAACAAAGCGGTACAATGGCTCAGTCTTTGCTAACCTTTAGATCTCCAATAACTGATTGTACTGAGACGAACAACACATTGTTACTATCTTTATTGTTAATGTAGGTCGATGCTTTGCACAATTTGACAAATGTGATTACAGCTGCTGCTTCACTATGTTGTTTTACATTTGAGTGAAGTTGTTTCTTGAGATTATCAATAAAATTACGCTAACGTATAGAAATAAATTAGAAATTTATTATACTATAAATTAAGATCTCTCTCTAACCTTTCTTAAATGTTCTTGTGAGCATGGACCCCCTCTTTCAATAGAGTAAACTAACTCTTCCAAAATGATGGGACACAAAACTAAAAGCATCATTTGCAAAGGCCATATATATTGAACTTTACGTTTATTGTTCTCTTGAAACATATCCAATAATTCAAATAACTTTTCACAATTATCTAAATAAAAAAAGATTATTTCATGTTTTCATGTCAAACCATACACAATAATCACAGATAATATTTTCCATGCTGAAAAATACTTACCACTCAACTCTGCATTCGGTCGTTTTTGTAAATCAGTAAATTCTTCTGGGTATGTATCTAACCAATTCCATATTGCCTTAAAACAGAAGCGGCTCCTTTTATCTGTAAATTTAATTCATTTTCATAATTTACCTTTTCTACACTTTTAACAAGTTCCGTATGATGTATCTTCTTCAATAATCTCCATTTCTGTACTTCTTCTACAAAAACACATGTGAATAATAATAATATGATAATTGTGAAATTATTACTCCTCTGAAAACAAACCATTTAAAAGTCTTGTGAGTTTGCTCATATCAACATTCATATGTTGAATTAAATCCAAGTCACCAGCTTCACATGTCTCATCACCCGATGCAATCAAACATTCCAAACTAGAACAAGCACATAGATAAACTTGACCATAAAAAATGCAATTTTTTTTGCAATATGTTATATTATTATTGCAATGTGTTAATAAGAATAAACTGTTTAGCAACAATTTTTGTTAGTTTTTTACAGTAAATTTGATTAGTAGTAGCAGTAGCGAGTGTTTTTTTGTTTACCTGTTGTCGATCACTGAACAATAAAAAAAGTAAATAATAAAAGTAATTAAAAATAATGTAACTTCAAGTAGTTGTGACCCTCTCTCACTCCTTTTTCTTTACAAATTCCTTTACATTTAATAACATTGCAATTTTTCTGTTATGGTACACAAACAGAATGAGTAATTACCGTGAAACTACTTTTGAGAATAGTGTACTGAAATTATTGACACTTAATGCAAATAAGACATGTGATGCTAATTGTCGAACATGCTGAACAGTCACACCATCACCGGGCACATTTAATAACTAGAGAAAGTGGAACAGTTAGTATAGTTAATTCTACAGCATATCTAGGATGAGTACACTTACTTTGCAAACAACTGGTAATAATTTATTTACATAAATCGCTTCATCCAGACGACTTGTACCCATATTATTTGTCTAAAAAAAAACAGGAATTAAACGTGTTACGCGATTGTAACAAGATCTTTATCTCACATTGGCTAAACACTGTTCAACGGCATCCAAAACAATAAAATACGATTCATAAATATTCTTCTCTTGATCAAGACCACCAAAACGCTAGTAGAGAAAAAATGAAAAATAGCTATATGAAGAATTCTTTGAAATATTTAGTTGTAACATACTGTTGAATCGATTGTTTTCAAAATGTCTGTTAATCCATTGATAACCAATGAAAATTTATATCTACTCAATGATATGAGACAATCCTTATTTTGTTCCAAATTTAGACGCATACACGGCGTTAATTCCCCGCATTTGATCGGCAACTTAAAATAACAGAAACAAACGTTAAATAGTAATAATTTTTCAGTTTGTTAGATGATTTACCTGATCTTCAAATCTTGTTATTAACGAAATGACCCATTCGACAGGTTTTGATGTCGACATTTCAGTATACACCTATGCTGTCGCTTATATCTACAAAAGAGAGTAGTTGTGAATTCAAATAATGTCAAAAAAGACAAAAATGCAAAGACAAACGAAAATTAGCGCTAACACGCAAGTATCTGTAAAGCAGGCTGACGTAAATCAGGCAAAAACAATGTGTTAAAAAAACACTTGAACACACAACGAATACAATCGTTCAGTTTTACGGTATAAAGCACAATGACGATTTTTAGGTTCGACACCAAAAGAATAAAAGTGACAAATTAAATCAGATCTTATTCTTAAATTAAAATTATAAGAAATTATCGGTTATGCACCGAACACTTTTCTGCGTGTGGATGTTAAAAACATTTCAAAATACTAATATTAGTCTATGTTTATAGAAAAACATTTCCCTACGATATGGCATTTTAATAAAATGTTTTGAACGCATAGATAAGAAACAAATATTGAAGCGAACCGAATCCAAATTCTGTACTTCAGATTAAAAATTAACTGCTTATCTATGAATATCGATAAATATGTGTTGTTTTACGTAATCAGAGAAAATCACATACTTCATGGACACAAAACAAACTTGATAAAAACTGAAGTACAAACAATACTCAATATAGCAGAAAAAAACATTCGTTTAAATGAGAAGAACTAAACACAGTATATTTTCACTAGCATAAATGCTGCATTATATAGATAAGGTGGTCATGTCATTATATAGTCAAGTGATATGATGTTTTGAATTTTCATTTCTCAGGGAATTTATGTATGCTACACACACATGGCTAGAATTCTCTCAAAAATGAGATGAAACGAAAAACATTTTTTTGATGCAGAGATGGACGAGTATACGGAGTTGTGAGCAGGAGTACTGAGGGTCGAGTACGAGTATTTTCTGAAAAGTACTAGAGTATAAAATTTTTCAAAAGAAGCAGATGATTCCGAAAAAATCGACTTTTGATACGTAAATAGTAAAAAAATGGTCTCCGTTTTTTGGGAGGTACCCGAATACGTTTTGGAATACTAGTTAAAAAAGTACCAGGAATTTGTACTCGTCCACCTTTGTTTGATGCACAAAAAAAGAAATATCTGTAAACCATTTTTTTAAAGCAATTATAGCACCCGATGCTAAACAGCAAGTAGGTCTTTTCATCCATGATCGTACCAGAAAAGGTGAGAATGGTTTACAATAAATAACTTCTAACTGTTATTTTATTATACTTTAGATACATCTCTGTTGATATGGTCTCAACCGTTATTTCATCGTAATTGTTCGTCTAACATCTTGCGAAAGTAGAAGAAACACTTATTCAACCGTATTCGTCCCATTATACAGATCTTGCTCTTCTTACGAGTAAAAATCTCCTGTTCTTGGAAGCTGGTATCAAAACTGAGCATCAGACTAACCAAGATCCAAGATTTCAAAAGCAGAACTTCGGGGGGCCGTATCACAAAAAAACTTAAGTCTGACTTAAGTCTTCGTTATGTGCACTTACGCGCTAATTTTATACACTTAAGTCTGACTTAAGTTCAAATTTTGACTTAAACCAGACTTAAGTTTTTTTGTGATACGGCCCCCAGATGTCTAAAAGTGAGATCATTCAAACACAAATTAGTCAAGCTTTCCCCATAAGTAGAGTAGAAAGATGTGCAAAAACTCCATCATCATAGTAAAAGTCAGACGCTACCACAAGAAATCGGTAAAAATAACATCTTATTCATTAGTTTTGCGGCTTCTGTTTATTTATTTAAACTGAACAATTCATATTATTTTACTATTGGACGACCATTTTGTTTATTTTGGTAGTTCAAAACATCCGGAGGAACAATTTAACATAGAAAATATGGAAGCTCCATGTAAAATATGTTGTTAGTGTCACCAGAAAGGAATGAACAGGTGTAGATTTGACAAATAAATCACCTAGAAATTTTTAAAATTTAGTTTTGCTAATGTTATACCGATAGATAAAAGAGATGTGAGGTCGTTAATTGTCGAACTTGAGGCCGCTGAAAAATGGGTTTATGTACGGAGATCAAAAAGTTTATTTTGATTGCTTTATTAGTTCGCCATATTGATTTTATATCGTCCTCTTCATTGTTCTCATCTGGTGCACAGGTATGGTACCGACACACAGAACTGAAGTTATGCGTGAACCGAGTTCTTGTATCTCATTGGTCTTATTCCTTTCGTTCTCTATGTTTTATCTAATCGGGAAAAGGAGAACGACAAAAATAAGATGGATGATGGAAATCTAAGTATTCATATTCAGCCCCAGCAATATACCATTCTTACGTCTACTATCTCATTCTCTTTTAGCACTACAAAAGACTTTGAAAAGCTTGCGTTACCATATACCGATACAAACCTGTTTGCAGACTTGAATTAGCTAGCTTCCGTTTATTTCAGATTGTTGTTTTGATCACAAGTTTTTTTTACTTTGATCAAACTTTTCATCAGTAATGTCAATTCGGTAAGCGTTGGCCAGAAACATTTTGACCTTCTGACTGATAGTTCGTTTTTGTATTTGTCTTTCAGAAACATCTAAGTTATCAACACCACCTGTGTATGGTGTGTAAACAAAAATGAAGCCAGACTTATTCATATGTTTTGTTTACTTTTCTAGGAATTATTTTTGATTGTCTGTGAGTGGAAGATCAAACAGTATGGAGAAAATGGACACGACTCAATCGCCGGGGAAAACATGGTATAACTATTTTCTAGTCCTATTTTTACTCATCAAATTCCAAAAGATATTGTGTTCTTTTTGCTTCGAATACGTGTTTCTTTTTGCGAGTCTAAAGCATAGTTGACCCTTGTTTTAAAAAAAAAACACTTGTATTTTTCTAGTTATAGAAAGGCATGTGCTTTTGTATTTCATCTTATGATGGTGAAATTTTTTGTCGCAAATGTGATGATTTCTTTCGTCTAAGTGCAGTCTTTACTCTACATTTTTCAATAATTAATTAAACTATCGTTTTTTACTGATTCAACACTATTCTGCTTTCCAAGTTTAGTTTGTAACTTCAGGCTCATGATTTGTTATAATTGTTTCTGTTTTAGCATTCTTCACCATCATGCGCGTAATTTTACCAACTCATCGTTGTCATCCGGTATCAATAACCCTGATATGTTAAAAGATTGTTCATCGTTAAATAAATTATTGATAGAACTGAATACACATGCGAAACTTGTGTTGGCAAATTTAAATACGTTAAGAAAACAAAAAGAATTATGTGATGTATTACTGATCATTGGACAGTCAAAAATTCCAGCACATCGAGCCGTTTTATCAGGTGAATAATTGAAAGAGATATATGACAGCATTAGCGGACAGCGATGAGACAGACTAAAGCGTCATACGTTACGCAGAATGAGGAATTAAAACTCGGAGATATTTAAAAAACGTAAATAGATTTGCCTCACTCATGTAAATTCGCAGAGTTCTATTCTCGCATTGGTGTAAATATAATTTGTGTTTTACTTTTGATTTATTTTGTCCCTTTCTGTGTGTGTTTTTGTGTAAATATAATCCCTTATTTGGTAGTTTCAGTTCTTTGATGTATTTTGTCTATTTGTTCTAGCTTGTAGTCCCTATTTTAAAGCAATGTTTACTAGTGAATTAGCTGAAAGTCGTTTAACGGAAATTGTTATTCATGATGTTGATGAAAGTGCAATGGATTTACTCATTGAATTTTGTTATAGTTCAACAATTTTAGTTGATGAAAAAAATGTCCAAACATTATTACCAGCAGCTTGTATACTACAGGTAGTTTATCTATCATTTTCTCTCATCTATTTATTATTTATTTATTTTTTCTCTTCTAGATTCAAGAAGTTCAAGATACATGTTGTGAGTTTTTAAAAGCTCAATTAGATCCATCAAATTGTCTAGGTATACGAGCATTTGCTGATACACATTCATGTAGAGAATTATTAAAAATTGCTGATAGATATACACAACATAATTTCAATGAAGTATGCACTAAGTTGCTTTTAACATTTATCTAGTATGAGAATTATTAGCATCGAATTATTTTATTATATATATTAGGTAAAAGAAAGTGAAGAATTTTTATTTTTACCAGTAAATCAATTGATTGATATAATATCAAGTGACGAATTAAATATGACCAGTGAGGAAGACGTGTTTAATGCCGTAATGCATTGGATACAATGTAATACAGAACAGAGAAAACAATATTTATCACAGGTAGATTAATATGAATGAAATAATGCATCGAGTACTTCTAAATGAAAAGTGTTTATATCAGAACTGAACAAATCAAGCTATTTTTTTGGTATACCCTAGTCTTCACTTGATTATAGAAGGGATTGACACCACTCACACTTATGGATCGATCTTGTATCTGACTTGCTGACATGAGTGTAGAACGTACCTAATTCTCATGTATAACGAGGAACAATACATTTAATATAAAGTATACATTGCAGACATCTGAAATATTCTTTTTTGTAATAGCCTCAATTTTCAACTTTACGACAGTGTCGTACAACTGTTATTGTTTTTAGGCATTGGAACATGTTCGTTTACCATTGATGAATGCAAGATTTCTTGTTAATACAGTTAGTTCACATCCTCTAATTCGAAGCGATCAAACATGTCGTGATCTTGTTGATGAAGCAAAAGATTATTTATTATTACCTCAAGAGAGATTAAATATGCAAGGCCCAAGAACACGACCAAGAAAACCAATTAAACCGGGAGAAGTATTATTTGCGGGTAAGGTGTTAATATCATCAACAGTTTTTTTGTTTTATTTATGTTACTCTACATTGATGTTTGTACAACATTTTAGTTGGCGGTTGGTGTTCAGGTGATGCTATTGCCAGTGTTGAAATGTATGATCCACAAACGAATGAATGGCGTGCTGTTGCTCAAATGAGTAAACGACGATGTGGAGTAGGCGTAGCTGTATTAAATAACTTATTATATGCTGTCGGAGGGCACGATGGAACCAGTTATTTGAACAGTGTTGAAAGGTAAGCTTCATTATAATTATAATTTTTCTCACGTATCTCTTTACAATTGAACTATTCAATGTCTAGATTTGATCCACAAACAAATCAATGGAGCAGTGAAGTATCACCAACGAGTTCATGTCGAACAAGCGTCGGTGTAGCTGTGTTAGATGGATGTTTATTTGCGGTTGGAGGACAAGATGGAACATCTTGTTTAAATCTCGTAGAAAAGTAAGTACAAAACCGTGTAATAGCTCAACCATGATAATCCATAATGAACGTTTTTATATTTTAGATATGATCCGACATTACAACGTTGGATTCGTGTGACATCAATGTGTACAAAACGTTTGGGTGTGGCCGTAGCTGTTTTAGATGGATATTTATATGCAATTGGTGGTTCGGACGGTCAGTGTCCGTTAAGTACAGGTACGTAGAAAGGACACTCTTACTTAGAAATATTTTACTGGTCACTGCAAAAAATAGTTTGTAAATGATCAGAGAGTCATATCAGACAGTTGAAACTAACGTTAAATTAAGTCTATTGAAGTTCGACATGACAAATTTGTAGTATCCATGTCTTATTTATGCGTATTATAGTTGAACGATACGATCCAAAAATGAGTAAATGGTCAGCTGTAGCATCGATGACAACACGTCGTAAACATCTAGGATGTGCTGTGTATAATGGTTATATATGTAAGTTTGAAATGTTTTTATTAATTTTTCAACAAGCTCGGATAATTTTTTGTTTAGATGCTGTGGGTGGTCGAGATGATGCCACAGAATTATCAACCGCCGAACGTTATAATCCAAAAACAAACCAGTGGAGCGCAGTTGTGGCCATGAATTCGAGGAGAAGTGGAGTACGTAATTACAAATAGAACTCTAAAATGACAGTTAATCTGTTTCAAATTTAGAAACTCTTGTATTTAATTTGAACGTCTAGTCACAGTAAATTTTTCCTTTTTAGGTTGGCTTAGCTGTTGTTAATGGTCATCTGATGGCTATCGGAGGTAAGATATACGCTCATGGCCTCTTTTATAAATCTATGCACTATCTTACTCTTTCTAGGTTTTGATGGTTCAGCATATTTGAAATCCGTTGAATTGTATGATAGTGAACAAAATTCATGGAAATTAAACGGTGGAATGAATTATCGACGACTAGGTGGTGGTGTCGGTGTAATTAAACTACATCACTTGGATTCTATTTTATCGGTGTTGATAACCAATCCAGATGATATTAAAAATCGACCATTATCGAAACTGGTTGACTTATAATGAAATTTTCACTGTTTTTTTTGTTTTTCTTCTGTTCCTTTACTGTCTTTCAATTATTATAGAGTGGTGGTAAAAAAACACGAATAGTATGATGTTGCCTGATTTAGCGTAAAAGGAAAAATCTAGCAATGCAATAACTAATGCCTAAGTTAATGGCACATACTAGTATTAAAAAATTCGTCCGTTTTTATTGAATGTTTTTATGTTGTGATGAAGCTGTTGATTCTTCTTCCTCACCCTGTTTATTATGTCATTTATCAAACAGTAGTAGAGAATCTGAAAGAGTAGCCACTACTTTAATGAGCCTATTTCTAAAATAAATAAAGATATTTTTCGTGAACAATGTAGGCGAAAATTCTGCTAACATACGAGAAAACATTGCATAGAATTTTCTTTATAATTGTTGCCTAACTTTGTTAATTATTTTCTTTTTGCGCTTGATCAGGTTTGATACTAAAATTAGTTTATTTATTTTTTGTTGTTTTTTGTAAATAAGTGTCTATTCTCTTTTTATATTGATCTCTCTATCCACATTTGTTGAACAATGTACATAAATGTAAAAACTCGGCCTCTTTTCTCTGTTTTGTGTCCAAATCTTTTTTTCTTTATTGTATTTAAGAAAATCATAAGAATTTTATTTGAAGTTATAAAATGAGCAAAAAGAGAAAAATATTAGAAGAGTTTTGCTCAAATTAATAGGTGTTGTTTTCTTTTGTGCATATTATTACGATTAATTTAGTTGTTGTTCGACAGATTTGTATAACTCTGGAATTATGAGAAATATTATTGCAAATAGTAGCTGAATATTATTATAGCTCTTATTTGTTATTCATATTCTTGGATAAACTGTTGAGTCAGAGTTCCAAATATGGAAATGATGTGGAGAGTACGTACCCACTGAATAATTAAAAGTTTTGACTTTTGTGAAACATTATTAAAAAATTAGTTCTTCATAGTGCCTCTACGGATTCTACTCCACGGACTATCTTTATTTGACTTGCATTGCCTCGGAGACACATCCGTTTTAGATCTCTCTAATGTTTGACCTCTATCTGCAGTACTGTGTAGCGTGAAGATTTAATATAAATCTGATAAAAAATATTCGATATTGTACTACAGTAGTATAGGCGACGAAGTATCTCGAAGCCTGAGAAGACTGAAATTTTATATCACCTTAAACAAAAAACTTGATGATGGTTGCTATGTCGTCCTCACTAAACTTGCCATAACCTCACTCGAAAACACTTCATATTTTTATTCGTAACGCTCAAGCATTCTTTTATGCATCTGTTTCAAGTGAATTCGAATAAAATTATTACGGATGGAAGTTCTTTTTTGACTATTTGAAAAATCCAATAGGTTTTTTCAGAATTAAAACCGGTTTCAGCTTATGCTCGAATATAGCTGTAAATTTAGTTTCCTAAAGACCTATGCTGAACCACTTTAAACAGGATCTTAGTTCTTGCAGAATATGGATTTTGTTTGCTTACTTCAATGAAAGTCAAATATTTGAAAACAATGCACAATAAGAGGTAACTCAGAAGTTGAGAGCTTTATCCCACTGCAGTTAGCTTTAGACTGGAATCCGACATTTTATCAATGTTCTTAAACAAAGACTTAAGTAAACATTTAGTTTGTTGGATAGGCCTAAGAAAGGGCGAAAGAGAAAATAGCAAAATTTAATCGTAAGCTAAGTTTCAGATAGGTAAGTTGCATAAGACTTTATCTGTACACACTTCTACGGGCTCTCTAATTAACGAAAAAACTGATCTAAGTTTACTGAAAATCTTTTGTAAAACATAGAATTACTTCGAAAATAAAAATTGAGTTTTATATTTGAATTTTTTACAAGTTTTGAACTAACTGTATAAGATTTGGAAAGCATCTCCATACAGGATAGTGAGTGGCAAAACAACATTTATGGCTATTATAAATCATATACTACTCATGATACTAGACAAGTCCTGCTGATACCTTTTCTCTCAATTCTTAAACGGGCATAGGTGCCGTAAAACTTTTCACATCTTATTCGACCTACCCATCTGGAATTTTCTTAAGCTTATATTTGACATTCGCCATTTTCTCTTCATTCTCTCTTAGGTAATGCGTTTTGTTTTAGTATATCGTTTTTCAGTATTCCAGTTAGACAACTTCGAGATGTCTTAAAGTAATGCTTAACTAAGATCATGTCGAAACTTAAGTGCTCACCTAACTTTAAGACTCGCTTAAAAAATGCGCTCCACAGTTTGCAACTTCGATACCAGGTTAATTCTTCGTTTATTTCCTTATTCTTTTTCTCATTCATTCATAAAGTTTTCTTGATTATATGATCTTAAAATGGAATCGTTGTTTAAGTGAAGAGTCTTAATAGGAAGTAGGGGTTGAATTTATTTTGTATTGAGCTTCAAATCCAGTCGTACAAGAAAACCTCTATGTTAATATTCAGCGACACGCTTATTAGCTTAGGTAAACGTTAACAAAATCATTTACTCGAAAAGGTTTAGAAAAATCTATTCCATTTTCCTTCACGCCATCAAACTAAATGAAGCATAAGCATTTCAAAATTGCCTTTCAATTGCAAGAAATCAGCAAGTACTTTTGTTTAGAAGTGTACAGGATTAAGGATAACCTACAGAACATCCTATAAAAAAAGAGCAACCCTACTCTATTTTGAATTAGGTTACCTTGCTCAGATTTATCTTTACGCAATAAGAATGTATAAAAGCAATTATCCCACAAGTACAATCACAGTTTTCTGAAAAATTTGATTTCAAAACTACTAAATGGTCCTAGTTACAAATTCCTCAAGAAGTCCTTCGAGTACAGATCTGTAGGGACAACTTTTTCTGTACAGGTCTGACTGTGTTCACACCTTGTCTGTGAAGTAAACATTTTTTTGAAACTATTTTAGAAAAATATTACATAGCTAGTTTTTCTGCAAGTTGATATGTTGGTCAGCTGTATGCGACCTGAGATCAGAAAATTAAAAGCTTTTTCCTACACAAATCAAAAATATGTTATTTAGTCCATGCTCTCTACAATTGTTTTTTCCTTTTTTTGTGAAAGCAGGGTCAAATGCTCGAAAACTCACCTACATTTTCTTTTGATGTTCAACAGAGAAACTGAATACAACATAGAATGATCCTGCTAGCTCCGGACTAAAAATCAGCAGTAATACTGAGTGGCCTGTTCAATCACTGTGATGGAAACTTGAAAAATTGATGATTTTTATATAGTATGTGCAGTAACCAAGTGTAGGCAGCTACTTCTATGAAAGGTCTATGAAAACAACTAATTTTTTGTTATCATAAAACTAAAACTTGAAGACCCCTAAGTCTCGTTCCTCCGTCGATATTTAATGGTTGTAAGAAAAACTATAATGACGAAAACATTTGAAATTTTAGTCTTTCCATAACTGATGCAAATATGTTCTCAAGTTACAGTTATCTCAGTTCAAGTTACCTCAATGGTTTTCAAATGTTTTGCACTAACCTTGTGCTCATATTATGATCTTTCTTTCTTTTACGTGTTTGTTTGCAGTTATTTTGTCATAATCATCATCGACGATCCAACTCTTTTGGACAATGATGAGCATTAGAAGGTAAGTGTTAAAACAAGTTGAAGTTGTCTATTTACTTTTCAGATTTTTCATGTGCGTGTGTGTAGTGCGCACGTGTGTGTTTTCTTTTGTCACTGTTTAGATGTTGCTCCTCTACTTACATATCGTATTTTTCTAAGGCAGTGACATGTTCCTATTTAGATAGAAATATAAAAAAGCCTTCATCGTATTGTGTGGTTTGGAACGATTAAACAAACGTTTACAATTAGAGAATAACAATAAATTAATGTAAGTTGAAGTGAATATGATCATCATATTGTAGAGTACACAACTTTACATAAATATACTCTGCCTAAAGATATGCGGTACTGCCATCCAATCTCTCAGTCACTGTAAATTTCAGTTTTTGTTCTTTGCTGCAAAAATAACAAGACAGTTTTTTAATAGAATATCCCTAACTGTATTTCCAAATCTATCCGTTATCTCAAACTTCATCCGTTTTTTCTTTAACTAAAAGATTCTCTCTGTTTAGATTTCGTGTCTATCTGATGAATATCGAGAATGACACTATGCAAACAATGAATCCATCAGATTTACAACGATATCAACAATATTCTTCTGGTAATGAAGGAGATGATTCGTCCATTTTACAAGATGGTGTAGCTGGTGATTCATCGTCATCGTTAAATTCAGGAATATCAAATTTAGTAATTCAAGGTCGTGTACCGAAACCCGATGATGAACGAAAATTATTTGTTGGTCAATTGTCATCGGATATAACCAAAGATGATTTATTTAATTATTTTTCACAATTTGGAGAAATTGAAGATATCACAATTAAATATGATGTACCTGGTGGACGTACGAGAGGTTTTGCATTTATTTTATACGATCGAAAGGAATCATTACAACAAGCACTACAATCACCCGAACATTTCATTAATAATAACCAAATTGATCCAAAACCGGCACACAAAAGACCAGGTAAATATATCTACAGATTTAGTAGAATAATGTTTCTATATCTATGTGTTGTTTTCAGCTGTAACAAATCCTGTTAAAAAAATTTTTATTGGTCAATTACCTATTAATTTTCCCAAAGAAGATTTAGAAAATTATTTTCAACAATATGGACCCATAGAAAATATTGATTTACCTCTTGATCGTGAAAAAAATTGTCGTCGCCCATTTTGTTTTATATCATTTAATTCAGCAAAAACAGCTGAAGAAGTTCTTAGACAACAACGACATATAATTAATGGCGTTACAATTGAAGTACGACCAGCCAAACCAAGAGTAAGTGGATAATAATTCTATTGTGTCATTCTACGGATCATAAAAACATTTTGTTCTCGGTTTAGGCACATGACCAGGGTGGCGGCGGTATGATGGCGCCACAATCGATGATGTCCGGCGGAGGAGGCTCATATTATGACGGTGGTGGCAATGCGTATGGTGATAACATAGATCGTTGGAGTCAAGGTGGCAGTTCAGGATCGTACTGGAATTCTGGAAATAATAATCAGAATACACATTCATCCACACAATGGTCACAAGGTACTAAATCTCAAAATTGTTTACTCTATTCCACATTTATGTATATTTTGTTAGGAGCAAATGGTGGTAGCGCATCGCCGAGCAGCTATTCAAATCAATCTTCATCAGTTTATAATATGTATCCACAGCAATCGTCATCCAATTCTTCTCAGTCTTATCCAAATTACGGTCAACAGCAACCAAATTATGCTTCATCTTACGGACAATATATACCAGGACAAGGTGGTTACGGAGGTTATCAAGGTGGATATCATACTCATCAACAGGATCAAATAAATGCGTCACCACTATCAGGTTTAGGTTTTCATCAATCAGCAACATCTTCAAATTCAGGTAAGATACTGCTTGCACCATTTCGAGAGAACGATTCACTTTTCAGTCAGTTAGAAGTGACTCAATTGATTAGAGAGCTGCGGGACGGTCCCAGTTCCAGTCCCGCGGGACTTTTTACGGGACCGCGACCTAGAAAAATCATTTTTACGGGACCAGAACTGGGACCGAGACTTATAGGTCTGCGGGACGATCCCAGTCCTTTCTTAGTTTCTGTGCTTGGTTCTATGTCGGCACTAGTTCTGCGAGAAAGAACTCACAAAATTCTAAAAGTCTTCAATTAATACCAGCCACGCATGCTGTTCCATGTGCCACAACAAATTAATCGATTAAAAGACAGCCCATCTCTCTATCTCTTTTTTCTATTGATCACTAACGCTAATCATGCCAACGATCAAGAAAAAGAACAGAACGATCTTGAAAATAGTGAATGGGGTATAGAAAAGAGAGACAAGGCAAATATAATCATCAGTACAGAAGATAAGAATTCTACCTTAGAAGTTTTCCTCTTCACAGTTTCAAGTTTATTCTGCCACCGCTATTTGAACAAATTTTAATCACCTAAATTGCAGTCAATACAATGTAAAGTACATCATCAAATGTTGGTCATCTCTTTCTGGGTCTTCTTCATATAGCAATTGCAACTTGTTCGTCAAATGAGAGTTCAAATTTTCTTCTGTATGTCTAAAATGTTACGATAGTGGTTTATTCGTAGTTTATTATACATGTGACCGTGTCTAATTCAATATTTATCTCTGAACGCCTGGTTGTTTATCGATCACACGAACATTTGATATTTTCAAATAAATTCCCATTAATATGTTTTGATAAGTTTTGACTCCTATCAACATTTTTCATTTGTTCATACATAGTGGATAAAACTAGTCTTCAGTCATAGTATTTAATTTTGGTTTATGGCAGTCATTGTCAGGAATGCTCAGTTTGTTGCTAGTGTTTGTGGTGTAGGAGTATTTGGTGTTTAAACTGAATTTAAGTCCACTACTTCCTTTGTGATTTTTCATTAAGAGATTGATCGTTGTGATACTTTTGATGATTAGCTTTAGTTTTATCTTTTCGATAAGATTAAGAGCAATCGAAACATGAAAGATTTTCTATAATTTGATACTAAGAACCTATCTCATTTAAAGCATAAATGATCGAGAAGATACATGAAAACTGGACACAAGTAAATAAACGATCAATAAGATTTGCGACATAGTTGAGTAGCTGTTATTACACATGCAACGGTAACGGTAATTTACCGGTTACCGTTGCATCCCTAACCGTTACAAGAATAAACAAATGGAAAGAGAAAGGATGATGCTTGAGTAGGATATAGTAATAAAAGTTATTATCTAAAAACTTCTATACATTTCGAAATTTTTCTTCTGACATCCATTAGTGTACACTGGTAATTCTGGACTCAGCTTAAGCTAAGTTAAAAACGTGTTACTTGTCCAAATTAAAGTCTCTCGATATCATTGATGTACATCAGCCAGTCTCAAATGCCACTGTTACTATTAGGTACATCGAATTCAAATACATGGAATGCCCAGCAGCAACTACAGTATGCTTCCGCTCAACAGCAACCAGCTCAGCCTGCTTATGATCAGCAAAGTTTATACGCTTATTATGCGAGCTACGCTGCACACATGTATAACCAACAACAACAGGAACAGCCTCAACAAACACAATCAGGCATTAGTCCAATGGATCCGTCTTTATCATCGAATAACGGTGCAGTAACAGATGCCGAAGGACAAGTGCAAAAGCAATCAAATTCAGCATCCTCTGCCTATCAGCCGTATCCACAACAACGATAACAAAGTAAAGATCTTTTAGAATTTTAATTTAAACAAAAAAGACTGTTAATTGTTAAACTTTTTCTTTTTTTCATTTCTTTTTTTTTCTTTTACTGAAATATATAAAAAAATCAAGATTATATTTTTGTTGCTTTTTTTGTTCCATCTGTCTATTCCGAAAAGAAAATGTTTGCTCGTTTATTTTTTTTTGTTTGTGTTTGTGTTTTGACAACGATTTTGAATAATATTGTGTGTGTTTTCTCTCTTTTGCTGCCTTCTAGAAACACATACGCTCGTCAATTGAAATGTTAAGCAAAAAATATTTTTTCATTCTGCAGTGTTGATCAAATATTTCTTGCTGAAAATCAGTGATTAATAAACAAATTTGGTCAAAAAATCTCGCATCAATGCCAACTTAGCATCTCTACTTGACGAGCGAATTTTTAATCTATTTTCCGAGCTTGATATATCTTTTCTATGATTTTCGTTTGTTTATTTACAATTTCGTTTTGTTTTCTAACAACGGCAAGTAAAAAAATACTAACAAAGAAAAAAATGTTTTTCTGTTTTGTCAACTGTCTCTGTATGTCTCAAAAGAAAAAAAAAGTTATTTGAAATGTGAATTGAAGACGAAAAAATAAATATTCTGTAATTGAAACTAATGCGACTATTAAAGGAGAAGGAGCTTATTTAACAGCAGAAGTTTTTCGTTATAAAATATTATAATATTCAAAATTAATTTTAAACCACTTTTTTTAGGATAAATTGTGAAATGTACCAGTTTGATGGGAGTCCAAAATTTTTACCAGTTGAAATGGTTATCCATGAGATATGTTCATTTCTATTCTTGCAGATAAATAGCTTAAAATTGCACATATCTCTTAAAACAAGTTTTACGGTTTTCTTATTACAAATCTTGCCATTACAAGTACAATATTTTGGAGCATGCAATCAGTGGCATAGCCAAGATTTTTTAAGAGGTGTGTGTGAGTGTCAGATACACTTTCTAGTGGATTTCAAAGTGCACGTTTCAATTCAGGAGAAAGCGTTTAAGAAGAGAAATGAGTTTTAATTTTGTGCAAACACTTTTGCAACAAGGGTTACATTCAGAAATTCTACGTGGTGTCAGTTTCCTCTAAAATTTACGCTAACAACAGTATGGTAGCTACACATTATAATGGCAGGATCCCATCAGACACACTCGTGCAATAAACTAACAATTTATCTTTTAACTTATAATAAAGTAAAGACGAAGATGTCATACTCTGCTTTTGTTTATGCTAACCGGTTCAAACTAAAACTATTGCAAAGAATAGAAGAAAGAGCTTTTATGCATTCAGGTAATAATTGAAAAAGTTAACATTTTGTGTCTGTCATCTGATGTGCACACTTCTTCTAGATTGAAAAATCCGATCAACTTTAAACGTCATTTCTAACAGAGTTTCCTTTGCAAAAAATACAGTTACAAAACTTCTTTCTTACCACTTGGAAAATGGCCAAGTAAACTAATGAAAAAAGGATATTTTTCTGTCACAATTGAGCTCAATGACTCTTCACGTTTATGGTCAATTAGAAAAGAAATGTACAAAATTTCGTTGAAAAGGACGGGGGTCCACGATTAACGCTAACATATTTTTAAATCTTAAAAATCCTTTTCAGCGCCCCTGGAACCCTTTTAGCAAAAAAAACTCTTCTCGCGTTAAGCGACGTTTTCTCAAAGTATTTACATTATTCAACCTGTTTCACCCAGAGCAAATATCAACTGTTATACACCGTTCGATAGAGAATTTCACGAGCTTCAAAATGATATATAAGATGATCTTAAGAAAATGTAACTGGGTACTCTAAGATCCGGAATACTCGGTAGCATCCCAGGAAATCGGTAGGTCAACGTCGTTCATGTTTATACCGGTGACTAATTTTCTCGTTAACCACTCTACTTTACACATCATTCGAGAGAGAATTTCACTGGCTTCAAAATGATATATAAGATAGTCTTAAGATAATGTAGCTGGGTAGTCTAAGATCCGAAATACTCGGTAGCATCTCAGTAAACCGATGGGTCAACGTGGTTCATGTTTATAATAATGACTTATTTTCTCGTTAACCACTCTTCTTCATTTCGCAGTAGAAAAAAAATTTCGATTGAAATCGAAAATAAAAATGCCACATAAGAACTATTTTCCCAGGATATTAGGAATCCTGGGTACGTCGCTGGCGACGTCTAGGGAGAGAGTCTAGGGGACGCACGCTCTTTCCTTGGAAATTTAACTTGCATTGAAAGACTGGAATAAAATAACAGCTATCAGTGACACGTGTTTGTTCACTCTTCTTTTTACTCTAATCTTTCCTGAAGGTATTATGGCTAAGAATAATAAGAACAATCCCAAGATATAGTAGCACTAACACTACGGTCGCACTGTAGCCTTAACCACGATTAAGCTAATCCTGATTAGTTAATCGTGATTAATTCGCAGTGTGACGGCGACCTTAATCATGATTAACTTTATGCATAATTAAAAGATAAATAGCGTAATCACGACTACCCAGATCGAGCCGTACTCCCGTCGTACGCGCACGTCACACTCTGTACACAACGGGCGCGTGATGCACGCGTGCGTCATGCGCATTTACTGTACGCATGTACTGTTTTAGAGGTTTATCATAGATATCAGATAGACATGTTACTATGAAACTGTAGAGAGAGAAAATCATGTCACGCTCGGTACGCGCACCGTGCATACACTTCCGTTACACGTACCAACCGTGATGGACCTCAAGTGTATGTGACGTACGCGTACAACTGTCGTATCGCCCGATCAGGGTAGTGTTAATCGCTATCGAAATTTTCACCACAGATATTCCAGACCCTATCTCAGGTCCTAAATTTTTTTTTCGAAAAATATGCTTTCCTGCTCGAAATATACGGAAAATGCTGAGAATCACTGGAAAAAACTGACTGTTTCTAAGTGATTTTCAGCATTTTTCGTATATTTCGAGCAGGAAAGCATATTTTTCGAAAAAAAAATTTAGAATCTGAGATAAGGTCTGGAGTATCTATCGTTTCGATCGAGCCATTTTTTCGATGGATCGTAATGTGGCTTAATGAAGACTGGAATTTTTCAGAAAACTCATAGAAGATCATGTCACAAAGTTCTGAGCAAAAAATATTTCGATTTCCTTTTTCGCTCTTCTATCTCTGGTATAAATTTACTTTAAACCTTTATAAATAACCTGGTATAAACTTGAGCTCGATCGGACGTGTGTCCCGCATTTGGCAACAAGGTGAAAAAAGGGAGGGGGTATCCTTAATATTTTTCCCATCAGATCAACAATTTTTTTCTAAAATTGTTATCTTTTTACTCTATACTTTACTACTGCTATATCTTCGGACTGTTCTTATTATTCTTAGCGATACCACCTTCAGGAAAGATTAGAGTAAAAAGAAGAGTGAACAGACACGTGTCACTGTAATAATAGCTGTTATTTTATCAGTATTCGATTTCAATGTTAAAGTAACTTGAAATTGAATTATGTTGAACTGTTGCTGTGGCAGCAATCAAGTTGATTTGTAACCAATTTGATTGCAGAAAATCAGTTTTTTTTTTTTCTGTTTTGTTTTAACACTTATTTTTCTAAAGTAAAAAACGATATTCTCTTTCCTATAAAGAGAAATGAAAAATAGAACAAAATTGAAACGGAGTTGGTAGGAACTATCGCAACACACGAGCTACAAGACTAGAAAATGTATCTGACACTCACACACACCCCTTAGAAAATCTTGGCTATACCACTGATTGCATGCTCCAAAATATTGTACTTGTAATGGCAATAAATTGTTAGTTTATTGCACGAGTGTGTCTGATGGGATCCTGCCATTATAATGTATAGCTACTATACTGTTGTTAGCGCAAAGTTTAGAGGAAACTGACACCACGTAGAATTTCTGAATGTAACCCTTGTTGCAAAAGTGTTTGCACAAAATTAAAACTCATTTCTCTTCTTAAAAGCGTTCTCCTGAATTGAAACGTGCACTTTGAAATCCACATTTAGTAAGCTTTTCGAAACTTTTTGAAAAAGTTTTCACAATCTTTTGTTTCCGAGTTATTAATGTTTTATTGATCTCGAAAACTGTGTTTATTATACAAAAAAAAAGACAGCATTTTTAGCAAACTTTAATGCGATTGCGGTAGAGGAACTGTAATAATATTAGTTTGAATATCAGTTTGAAGGGCAAACATTTCTCTACGAAACGGTATGTCGCGTCTCAATACGGCTTTCTCTTACAAAATTATAAGGGTTCTACAAAAAGCTTTATTTTTTCAAAATTCGCATTCTTTATAAAACTGACTATATTCACATGGTATGAGACTTTTGGAAAAAGTGCCCATAACTTTTTGTAATAAAGAAGTATGAAACTGCGCAAAATGCCATTTTGTAGAGAAATGTCTGGCCTATAATCCGGTATTCAAATAAAAAGTTGATTCTCAATTTATCATCAGTGGTACAGCATAGAAAATCGTCATCGTCCTTTATATAAACACAGTTTTCGAGATTATCAATAAAACATTAATAACTCGGAAACAAAAGATTGTGAAAAATTTTCCAAAAAGTATCAAAAAGCTTATTAAATGTAGATTTCAAAGTGCACGTTTCAATTCAGGAGAAAGCTTTTCTTAAGAAGAAATGAGTTTTAGTTTTGTGCAAACAGTTTTGTAACAAGGGTTAGTTTAATGAACTGACTACTTCAGATTTGAAATAGTTCTAACGAATTCTAGTTTAGGATTAAAATTTCGTACAACTCATATACCAGTAGCGGATCTAGAATTTTCTTTGGTACATACAGCACACAATAAAAGTATGAGGTACATGCTATCATCACAGAAACAAATTTTTCTAAGACAGTTCTGCTGAGTGAAAAATAACTTTTTTGTTCGAAAGGTACGTGCGGTCGCACGTACCACACGACGGCTAGATTCATCACTGTCATATGTGGTATTTCAGCAGCAGTTACTTATCAAACCCTGATTGCCACCGATGTTAAAACTAAAAGTCATTTAGTAAATACTTTTCAAATTCATTTTTGAATCTCGATGGACCGTTTTCTCCTCTCAATGCAGTTCTACCTGACATAGATAATTTTTGAGATGGCTATTCCAGAAATTTATTCTGCAAGCATAAGTCTCAATAAAAACAAAGATAATGGGAATAGATGACGTACCAGTTGAGTTTCTTCAGAAAACAGCAGAAATCATCTCCGGTTGAAAATAAAGTTCGGAAATTCTTTGAGACTTGCACACCAAGGCCGAAGTTGAAGCGTTCAAGCAGCCACTGTGTCTCGACTGAAAAATAGATCTCAAAACAAAATGAGCCATTTTGTAGAGAATTGAATTCTCTATTCAATAGTATGTTTTCAAAACTTTTTGAACAAAATATCTAGGTCAGAAATTTTAAATTAAAATTTTTATATTGAAAATTAAATTTTTCTTCAAAGAAAAAGTCAGATTCGTGATCAGCATGAAAAGCTGCGTCTAGTGAGGTGCTCCTATCGATTTTACGCTGAGAAAAATTCAAAAAAAACTTGATCAACGAAGTGTCGCGTTACATGGACAAGCACTCCAGCTCCAACATATTTTTAACTCGTCAATGTCTCCAGGGTCGCAAATAGAAGCAGAACATTAGGAGGATGTGAAACAAAATTTCTCTTTGAGATAGTGTGAAATTAATAAAAAAAGCTTTTGTGCGAGGAATAATGGATAAAATAACAACTTTTTCAGTCATTGGGGAGGGGGGACGGTACAACCTCCCGTTATTTGCGCCTTTGAATGTCTCACAGAAAATTTCAACTGTTTGAAAAATGCCGTCATCATACTAATATACGGAAAAAGGTGATCCTGTCTTGATAGAAAACTATCAGTCTATATCCTTATTGGCAAACGTGAGTAAGGTAATGGAAAGAATAGTTTTTGATCATTTAGTAAGTCATCTGAACGAGAGAGACACAGTTCAGATTTCAAACAAAATCATCAACAGTATATGCATTGACTTACATTTCTCATAGTATTAGTTTACTTATAGATACGAATATAAAAGTAGCTGGAATCTCTTTCGATAAGAAAACTTTTGATCGAGTCTACCACAAGTTATTAATAAAGAAACTGATGCTTGCTAAAATATCGGGCGATCTATTACAATGGTTTACATCATATTTAGAGAATCGTGTGCAACGAGTCAAACAGTGACAACGGTAAAGGTATGGAACACAACTTTCTAATTGTGCAATTCTGTATCCTACAGTAACGGACGGCCCATAGCAACACTAAATGTTAATACATTTTTCTATCACTTCATATTTATAAAAAAAATTTCTTTTATATATCAAACGATAGAGAATTTAATTATCTACAAGACTGTATATTCATTTTTAAGATTCATCTTTGATGTTTGACGTAGTAACTCTAACAAGAAAAGCTCCAAATTATTTAACTGCAATTTTTTGCGCAAAACTTCGCCAAAAATCACTTATTCAATGAAACAAGGTTTACCACAAAATTTAGCAGGAAATTCTCTACAATATGATGGTTTTTTTTTAATGAGAAATAATGATTTTTCAGATGACGTCTTTTTTGTGCTAGATACTTCGGTGAACTAGGAAGTTTATCCATTAAAGCCACTCATAATTGAAATAAATTACCTTCAAGTAAACTATTTTGTAAAGCATGAAATGCTTCACCATTTGACATTAATAAAGTTATTTCAGATTTTTTTGTACTCATTATACAATCTTGTAGAGAATTAAATTATCTATCGTTTGATATATAAAAGAATTTTTTTTATAAATAAGAAGTGATAGAAAAATGCATTAACATTTAATGTTATTTATTATGGATCACCCTTTAAAAACATTTTGTAAGCAGTTAACTTGACATATCAATAATATTTATTGCTACAATGATCCCACTCTTTTCATCACCTACTGGAACATCTGAATTACATGTACTGAACGCCGAATAAAAACTCATTTTTTTAATATAGATAATACAAAAATTTCAGTTTATGATATACCAATGCAAAATAAATGTACGGATAATATTGAATTATTGTTGATTAAAACAAAAAGAATCTAACAAGCAAGTGTTCATCCATGGTCGTTGTTTATTTTGGGATAATTTTAACACTTCTTTTGAAACCTTTTTCATCATTTCTTCAATTGATATGTTCGGTGTTGATATATGTTGAAGAAGAGCTGATGTAAAAAGGCTGTTCTCTCCCGAAACATTGCTGGCAATTGAAATAGTACCAGGATCAGATGAAAAAATTAATACGTATTCTGAATTTTGAGGTGTACGAACATTGGCTGATAAGCCTTTACTTGTTCCATAAACAGGCATAATCGGTAAAGATGATAGAAAGCCGCTAATGTCTTTTGATTTCCACGTATCGTTTTGTTCATCAGCTCGACATGCATCCAAAATGACAATATTAACCAGATTTCGATGTTGATTTAAACGTTTTAAAACATCATCAAGACAAATAAAATCGTATTCAGCGGAATAATGACTAAAACTATGATCGTTATTATCAAACGAATCTACGGGAACTAAATAATTACGACCCTAAACGACATAAACTACATCAGTAAGCGTAGTTTCAAGATAAATTCGGAGATTTTATCATACGGTTTTGAATGAAACTAACTAAATTGACTTACTACTATGACACTCATCAAAAATAACTAATCAACTTACACCTCAAGAACGAAAGTAAAGTAACCTGAACGACTCGAAACATGTTTCTTATAGGTTTTCGACAATGCTCTTTCCAGTGGCATCATTTTTAAATATTGAGAAAGTTTTCTGAAAGGTTTTCCATAGACTGGATCTCTGGAAAACTCCTTAGAAAACTTTTTCAAAGCCCAACTCTCATGGCATTAGAAAGAGGATCATGAAAAATCTATAAAAAAATGGTTCATGAAATTTTAGTTCACGCATAAAGCTAAAGTCCGCCTGCTCTAGCAAAAAATGCCCACTATGCGCGGTAATCTAATTTTTCGGTAAATTCATCGTACCATTACTCCGGTAAAGAGGCTTTTACCGTTATCGACGGTAAATTATCGGTTACCGCACATCCTTAATTATGACTGATCGATACACCACTAGAGTATTCTTTTGAACAAATTAAACAGCTCATATTCTAGTTCAATGCTGGCTAATTCAAGAATTTTTAGACGTAGTATTCTAGAAATTGCAGAGTACTGTAATCGAAAGAACATGTCAAAAATGCAAAATAATCTTGTTTCTGCTGAAAATGTTGTTACACTAAGTTTTGACTTTTTCGTACAAATTCAAAGTAGCACAAATTACCGCTGCGCATAAAAAAAGTATATCAGAATTACCTTTTCTTCCATTCCATGACCGGAAAAATACAACAGTACAATATCATTACTTCGAATTTTGGCTTGAAACAATTTTTCACTCCTTTCCATTTGTCGTTTATTAGCATTTTCGACTAGGGTACATTCAAAATTCATTTTTGTTAATATTTTAGCCATATCTCTTGCATCTTTTACACAACTATTTAATCGATTTAAATATTCATCGCTACCAAATATTAATGCTAAACGGCGGCGACGACAAGATATTGTAGGAGCCAACCGTTTTGAAATTTGAGTCGAAGTTTGATTATTATTATGATTTAATTGAAAATGTTTAATTGACGGATAAATAGATGAGGTCGGTGTTGAGTATTGTGTTTTTGCAATAAGCTAAAATATACAAAAGAAATGTAATGGACTATTAAGCCTTCAAAAATACTAAAAAGAAGAAAGTTCAAACGTACACAACCATTGTCAGCTACCAAATCTTTAGAATTTGTATGTATCATTTGATCTGATAATGAAATTTCCGTAGTTGAATCAGTAGCAGCACCTATTCGTTTATTCCCATCTCCTTTGAAACTTGATGTTTTTTGTTCGGATTTTTGATGTACCTTTTTTGCATTTTCCGTCATATTTTGTTGTTTTGACTAAAATAACTATAACGACGTTAAACTCTCCATTTTTGTCGAAAATGTGAGATGTGGCTATATCTATTTTTACTTTTGATTGTTTCAAAACTGTACGCTTTTCTATATCATCTTCATTATGTGTTTTCTTCGATTTGGTTCCATTTTCATTCAAATTAATTTTCGTGATTGATGATTGTTTCGAAGCCTGATATTTTTTCTGAAGCAAAAAAACGTGAACAAGTAGCTGCAAATTTCAGGTAAAACAAAATAACTTACCGAATTCGGCCGTGTTCTCTCCGCTCTGCTACTTTCACTACCCATCTTGAACGTATGTAATCTATAATGGAATTTACTTACTCATCTGACTCCAGCATTTTCGATTGATATTTTTTGGGAAGATAATTTTTGATCAGCAAAATTAATGAAATGGTCAGCAAAAATATATAGAAATGGCAGCGAAAATATTGAAATGGTCAGCAATTATCTATAAAATGGTCAGCTTTTTATATAGAAGAGTCAGGAAAAAATTCAAATGGTCAGGAAAAAATTAACATTTGGTCAGCGAAAAATCCAAATTTATCAGTAAAAATGCAGATTTTATCAGCAGAATAAATAAGTTTTATTCATATAAAGATTAATTTAGTATACAAAAGATAAATTTAAATAAAATTAAAAAAACACAGAAGAAATAAGAAGGAATCCAAAAGAACGGAAAAATTCCATTAGACATGATACATATGAACAATAACACATAGAGAAAGAAAGTAGCTACTTGTCAACGGAAAAGATGAAACATATGTTATGTATAAGAGAGGAAAAATTCACATATATGTGATGACAGAAAAGGGAAAATTCAACTATATAATGAGTCAGTACCCATTGCGACACTTTTTAAAGAAATCTGCTATTTTCTTCTATTTATTATCTGTTTTCATCGAAAAATCAATTTAAATCGATGTTTTGGATGTTAAACGTTAAAAATTGATTTATTATTTTTTTTAATGCAAAAATTCATTTAAATTCATTTTTTCTTTGAAGAAAATCTATTTAAATTCATTTTTATAGAATTCTTTTAGAAAAATCTGCTTAACTTAATTTTTAAAAAAATTCATTTAAATTCATTCTGGGTAATATTTCGTGCGAAAAATCTATTTAAATTCATTTCTTTCTCGATGAATCTGATTTTGGTTTTTGTTAAAGGTTAATTTGAGTTTCTTTTTTCTCCAAATAAAAGATCAAATGCACTTAAATAGATTTTCTCAAAAACTAAAACCAAATGCATTGAGATAGAAATAAATTTAAATAGATTTTCCACACAAAAAGTTACGAAAAATGAATTTAAATGAATCTTTTTAAAAATAAATTTAAGCAGATTTTTCTAAAAGAATTTTAAAAAAATTAATTTAAATAGGTTTTTCTCAAAAAAAAATTGATTTTCCATGAAAAAAATGGCACATTTCTTCGAAAAGTGCTGCAATGGGTAGTAGAATGAAAGGAAAATACCAAATAAGAGAAAGAAAACAACAAGAACACATACATAACAAATAAGCGGGTAGAGATGTGTGAATCACAACCTAACAATATATATGAACAACTTAAGGGAAAATCAACGACACTTGGAAGAAAATATGATAAGAAGAGAAAATACCTGAACTATATCAAGGGAAGAAAACGTTTGGAAAATACCCCAATGCGAATGAAAGAAAAACAGAAAAAAAAAGTGAATCACCTTATAACACATTCGATTTTTATACTGACCCTTTCATTTAATTTACTAATTTTTAAATATATTGGCCAACCAAATTATTTTAATAACTGATTATTTGAATAAAATACTGATCATTTATTCAATCTACGGATCATTCATTTATTCTGCTGACCATTCATTTATTTTACTGATTTTACAATTATCTCGCTCGCTGACCATTTCCTTTATTCTGCTGACCACTTAAATGATAGCCATATTTTTTATCATCCTTATTTTTCTATGTATTTTCCTATCCTCACAAAATGCAACGAGAACATTGTTTCACTCAGTTCTGTTGCTTTTTCAATGTATCATGATATTATGAGATGATTTCAGACAAAAATATATGAACTACCGTACTAAAACATAGAGTATTCTCTGGTTATTGTCCAGTCCGTTATTCAAAGTGTCAATCATTCTTCTGTTTTTGCCCTTATCTATTTCTATCTGTATATAGACACTAAGAATAACTGAATTTTTATCTTCCTATTCTAAACATTAAGAGTCAAAGGTATTATTGGTGTACGTGTTGATAAAATAATGTTGATTTATTACCCTGAAGGTATCCTTGACTAATGGTCACTTTCTTTCATTTTTGATAGAGTATAATAGGACAATAAGGATAAGATCAGAAAAGATCTTGGTAAAAATGCATAATGGATCCCGTATACAAAAATTTGACTAAGATCAAAGGCGGCACGGGAGGCGGCATGAAAGTGAGAAAGCCGACAAAGAAAATCGGGATCTTTTATGGGTTTTTTTCATACAAGTTTTTGTATACGGAATCAATTCTGCAGTTTTTCCAGAATCAAACTATTACCGTTTGGCAATAGAATAAGCGTTTTGTACAAACCATTTTGAGTAACTCCTTAATTTTTGGAGTTTCAAGTCTCTGCAAGATAAGCTAGTTGTAAACGGATTACGGAAATGCTCATCAGGACAACTTAGTAACCACAACAATGACTTGTGTATGATCCGTTTATCTGACTGAACACAACTGGTAGTTCACTATTTATTATGATTTAAAAACGAGCAATTATTCAATTAATTTAATCAGTTATTTATATGAACTTGCGAAAAAAGACTAATATAAATACTTTGATCGTATCTACAAGAAAGGAGAATTATGCCACATATTAAAAATTATTCATCTTTTTTTCTTTATGTTATTTTATTTTCAAAATTTGATAATATAACTTTTCGTTGTCGGGTTAAGTGGGATCCGTTCACCCAGATTTTTCGCTCAGTTTGTAGAGCACATTTTGAAACCTACGAATCAAAATTGTTTTAATTTCCCAGAGTTCGAGTTTTTTCAGAAAAAAATTTTGAAGTTACTTAGTAATTTTCTGCCCATTTTTAAAATTTCTATAGAATTTTTGTTTTTTTAGATAGAACGCTAATTCCTGTGCCAATCGCTCGAGCGCATCGAGTGGAAGAATTTTTGAAATTTTGAAAACTCGATTCTTAAAGCCCAAAATACTGTTTTTAATAGTCGAATTTTTCGTAAAATCATGTTTTCAAAATTTCCTCCGCTTAACCAGTGTAGGATTTAATACTGAACAATTTTTGTTCCCACAGTTTTCTTCTATAACGTTTTCCTGAAGTGAAACTCTGTGCAAGATCCTGGATGGTTTTGCGCTCCCGGACTCTGAAAAATCGCTCTGAAAATCTTTATTTTTTTCGATATTTGACACGTTCATTCGAATCCGTATGTGAAAGTGTCTATGTTCTATGAGTTGAAGATTTTCTGAACACTATCCGCTGGATCAGAAGAAAAGAGAAAGTGGCGTAAAAAATTTGAGCGTCTTTTCTCCGTAGTGCAGCGTCTCTGTATTTTCACTTTTAAAGATTGACCTTAAGAAATTTAGCTACAGCAAAGTATTATATCATAGAAAAAAACATGATAAACAACTTCTACGCTCACATTTCCGCTCCAAAATGCGTTCTCGCAGAGACACTATCCAAAACGTACACTTCTGGCCCCTAAAACCCAAGTTCTTAAGGTCAAATCCGAATTTCTCCGCCAAACCTTGTTGAAGAACGATAAAAATCGTTCTGCATACACATCTCGATGCGCTCTATCGATTGGTTGCAAAACCAAAGTTTCAAACTGAAAAGTAAAAAATTTTAAAAAATGGGCAAAAGAGGCCGAAAAAACTTAAAAATTTTTTTCTAGAAAACTACAAGTCTGTAAACCTGAAAACTCTTTTCATATATATTTTGAAGTGTCCTCTACAATGTGGCAAAGTTTGAACCAAATTTAAATGGGAGGACCCTCCTTAAAACTTTGTTACATCCGTGAAAAAGTTAAAAAAGTTGTTAATTTTTGTTTTTTCGTTTGTACTGGAGATTTATGGTATTCTAAAGAGAATATATACACAAATGAGTTCACTTTTTCATTTTCGAGTCCATTTGGCATCCATCTTGAGATGTAGTAAATATCTTAGTTACTGTAGCAAGAATAAAAAAACTTCAGGATCTTAATTTGCGCATAACTAAATCTTTCATCCAATCGATTGCGTCTTACCAATGCAACGAAAGTACACGAAACAAGAAACTTTCTTTTACTTCAAAAATTGCGATCAACGTTTTTGTACGTGGAACTTTTTTGTACACGGTTATTTTAAGATCATCGCATATCCGCCCCTACAAATAAGTATCTAATATTTTACAAAACAAACTTATCATTTTTTACAACAGTTTTTATTTCAATCAGAGCAAGTTTACAATGTGTTTTTACAATATTTGAAGTTCGTACTTCATACTCTTTTTATGTCCCTGTTTCACAACGTTTGTCCATGCTTTTGTGTTAATCCACATTGACTAAAATAAGAGCATAGAGTTTTTGACTGCATCAAATTATAGGCTTTTAATGCTAATTGTTTCATTTCTTTTTATCTGTATCATGAGACATTGAAC